AGCCTTGCGGCTGGTCCAGGAAAAGACTCCAAGCCGTCATTTCCTCGAGGTGCAAGTATCTTCTGCAACCTCTGGTAAACGGTTCCAAGTGGACACCAGATGCCTTGACGGGTAAACCCTGTCTCGCCATCGAAGATGTGATAACACTCTTCCACCGGCCTTGTCGGAGGAGCCCGGCCCCCTGGACTCCGAGTCGCTTGAAGCGACGTCGATCGGAACGAAGTTCGGATCCGACTTGAGGCGGCGGCGACGTCTTTGCCGACGGCGTCTGTGACGGGGAGCTGTGCTGCCCACGTCTATGGATGTCGTCGCTACGACATCCGAGGCACTCGTGGCCTCGTGTGGTACTGTTTTACCCACACAGGAAGCGTGTTCAACGCCTTCCTCTTCAGTTAAGGTCTGGGCGACCGCGTGTGGCACTGTGTTAGTATTAAAAGACCCCATTTCCAAGTTGAAAAGGTACCCATTCATCCACACCAGCTGTTGCTTGGCGTGTGGCCGAACAAAGAAGAGCTCTCACATGTCAGCAAAAAGTTGGAGTTATTTATAGTCCGCCCTTGTTTGAAAGTCTCCAAAGCGGAGACTTTTCATGCCGTGAATCACGGCGAGCGCTGAAGCCGCCAACTCCATCAAGAGGATACAGCTTGTCAGCGATACTATCATCCCGCTCTTTTCACTTGCGACGGAGTGTCCGATTGAAATTGAACAACGGCGAGCGAGGGACTTGGCGCAGAATCGGGTTTCTGCACGGGAGACCCAGCCAACGGATATGCTGCAAAAAAATGGAGTCGATGGGTACACGCGTCGTTCTAAAAAGCTGGAGCCATCGGCGAGAGGTGCAGCCATCCTAGGAACCATGCAGGGCCAGCAGCAACGATAACCGATAAATTGCGAGTCGATGCTATTTGCGATGCCAGCGCAGATAGGTCCAATCATAGGAGGTCTGCTGTGACGACACCGTGCGGCGCAGCGGTATAAATTGCTTCTCGATCAGACACGGTGTCTCACAGTGAAACTCTCGTTGCAGGCTGCAACTTGCAGCACCTGGAGCGCCCAGAAATTCTCTGTCGTTTGGCCTTCCTGCAGCTGCAAGATGCCCTCGACTGCTTGCCTGAGGCAAGTTGCCTCTCGCCGATACTCTCGGCGCCGCCGGCGGTGGAGGCATGCACTCGTCACGCACGCAGGAAGCAATGTCAAAAACTCTCCCAAAATAGCAGACAAAATTACACAGATTTGCACGTTATGTGAGCTTCATGTACTAATATTATTATTGCTCCCAATACTCCAATAGTATTATTTTAATACCCAATAGAGTGGCTATTAAATAATAGCAAGTTGCTATTTCTAAGCATGAATTGCAGAATGGGTTAAAACCGCACCGTAAGTACTATCCGATAAGGCTTTGTGAGTTCTAGCCTATTTCGAAGCCGGTCCCCAATTCTCAAATTACTTGGAGTTTATAAGTGAGCGTTTCGCGGAATTGACAATACAGTACATGTACCTGAACAATTGTGTCTGTTTTTTTATTTTCATCCAATGTCCGCGCTCTATTCACATTTCATTTTGACGTCGGACCATCTTACAAACACCAAGGCACGCGGTGTGTACCCACCAGAGATCCAGTTTGAGCCCAGATTGTTTTTCCACCAACCACACACCGCCGTGTAGAATGGGTACACGCCATTCGTGTATAACCCTAAAATCCGCCGCACGTCGTGTCGCGGCAAGAAGGCTTCATCCACCACCGATAGTGCTCACTTTGCCACTCCCACCAGCATGACCATCTCGCGTAGCGTATACAATCAGCTCTTCGAGCAGGCACCCGATGCCGCGGGCGGCGCAACCAAGGAGAAAGTGATCCGCTTGCGCCCCACAGAGGCCAAGGCAGGCGCCGTGGTCATGTCGGCTAAGAACAAGATCCAAATGTGGACCAAAGAGGAACACGAGCGCTTCCTCGCGGCGCTCGAGAAGTTTCCAGCTGGCCCCTGGAAGAAAGTGGCCGACTTTATTGGCTCTAAAACACCGCGCCAGACCATGACCCATGCGCAGAAATATCGCCAGAAAATTCACCGCCGCCAGCGCGTTCTGCGCAACCAGAAGAAGAGCAACACCAATGCGAATCGTGCGACGACCACAACCGGTACTGGCCCTACACCTGTGGACATTAAGGCCGACCCCAAGGGCGAGCCTAAGACCATCGTTTCACCCTTACGGCGTCGCGACTTGCAGCTCAAGGCTG